ATTCTATTCTGATATTCATTTAAAAAAAAAACATTTACGACGTTGTTACACTATTTACTGATTTGGCCGTTGTGATCCCCTGTGTGCATGACGACCTAAACGTTGCAATACCATAAAAGAAGACAATAAATCACGTGTAAATAATGTAAAATATATGGTAACCCCTCATTTTAGAAATTCAGACAGAAATTATTTAAAACATTGATACTTACAAATCTCATCAACTTCTTATTTTAGTTGATACTATATCTAAAATTAATTTTCGCGGTTGAGGATTTTGGTACGTATCTATTTTAATTCATATATAAATTCACAAATGTTGCCCCATTAGATTTCTACTTTATTGCACTGGAATTAATTCATATTTAGTTTTGATCGATCCATCTTTATTGGAATGATTGCAAAAACACCCCTATCCAAAAATTTATACACAGAACAGAGATGCATGCTGGGATTTCTTCCTGGCGAATAAGATAGGCCACTTCTCTGTCTCATCCGCCATATTTCTCTTCTTTTTTCTCTTGAAGTCAGAACGCAGCGATCGCTCGTCAGTGTCTTTTTGTGCGTTAACGCCATGCTTAGATTGTGAACTTTTTGCCTTATTACTGTTGCTTTGCCTTGTATATATTGTTCAATATTATTTTGGCCTTTTTTTCTTTCTCTTGTTTCGGTAAACTTCTGTCAATTGCTTTTGCTGAGCATTTACGCCAACTGAATGTAATCATGGGCAATTACGCTACAAGTTTATGCTCATTTACAGCAATGGAAATTCATGTGGAATTGCTGTAGTTGGTAACATAAATGATGAAAAGAACATACTTGTGATCATTTTAAGACTGATCAGATAAAAAAAATACACATTTGAAGCAGCCTCTACCTTGAGTTGCTATTGAACGTTGTCCTGGAAGAAAATAGTATTAAAAGTTCTAGTGGCGATTCTAAACGAGGCGCTATCTGCTTATGTCTTTGATCTAAATCAAGAACTTCATTGTAAACATTTACCCGAGTAAGATATTGGAAATTGATGGAGTTGTTTATATTTACGTAAAAGAGTGGAAGGTTCTTAGGTCGATCCACTCCCCAAAGTTAGTATTGAAACGATCTAACCTCAAATTATTTCTGAGACTGTTTAAAAACAACATGCGAAACGATATTTCAAGAGTTTTGAACGGCAAACTGAATATGTAGAATGGCATGTCAATTCCGTGGCTCGAGGACATTTGGGTTGGTCCATGAATTTTAAAGCACCCCAACCTGGAATGAGGAAAGTCAAACGGTAAACAGTGAGAAAGATCAATGTGATGGCGGATCGATAAAAAGATAAATTGGTTGGTTGATTAGGTGGAAAAATACGAAAAGAAATCAAAGAGAAAATAGAAAGCTGAAAATTACTGTTTGATTTGCTTTGCATAAACCACACACAAGAACACAAACACTCACTGACATGCATATTAGAATAAATATAGATATATATATATATATATATATATATATATATATATATATATATATATATATATATATACACGAGCACACACACTGACATACATATGTTAGAACTGGTATACATATAGTCACAAGAGGTTCGAATACACACACATATGTGTGTGTGTTTTATATCTGCATTTGTCTATGAAGCATGATAAGGAAATGGCCCATGAATATATATATATATATATATATATATATATATATATATATATATATATATATATATATATATATATAATGCTGCATGAGAGTATGTATGTATGTGTGTATATATATATATATATATATATATATATATATATATGTACACAAGAAAGTGTTTACATTTATACACAAGATAGGGAATACATACATGTACATATTGCAATATATGTACAAATAAATGCAACATATACTGCACACAGAAGCATAAATAATAATAATAATAAATTTGCAACATCTACTGGAAAGAAAATGAAATCAAATGGAATGAACACCATCCAGACCCGGTTACGGAGATAGGACCTGTTACAATTCTATGAGACTGCACAATACACACTGACAGAACAATCAGAGCCAACTGCCCAGGCATTGTTATTGAAGACCACAACCAAAATGTGTCTCCTTATTGATATGGCAGTCCTTACAGACTGCAATGTATCTTTGTAGATATTCATAAATATGTAAAAATACAAGGACCTTAAAATAGAAATCTCAGAAATGTGACACATGGGAACATCAACAATCCCTGTTGTAGTTGGAGCCCTAGGACTGGTTGGAAAAGATTCCAGTACACTAATGGAAGTCCATGCCTCAAAGAGATACAAAAAATTGTTCTGACAAGTACAGCCTACAATTTACGAAGGGCTTTGTTTATGTATTTTTTTTTTTTGTGAAAGAAGAGTGTCATGATGCCATTTCTAACATTAGGTCCCTGGGCGGGACCCGGAAAGAAATGTGTAAACGCCAGAAATCAAAAGAAATAATAATAATAATAATAATAATAATAATAATAATAATAATAATAATAATAATAATAAAATATTATATTAAAGCGCTGACGTTTTTAGCATATATTTTAAGTTAATCAATAAACACCGATGTTCAACGAAAGGTTAACCATATTAAAATTCAGTAAAGTCTTTGCAATATGAATACATTGATAAAATGTATTACATAATGAAAACATCACAAGTTGAACAGCATTTTAAGATTTAGTAAAATGCGAAATAGATCATGTCAGAGAGGACAACATCGATTGTATAATAATAAATCGTAACAAAGTCATCACAGAAATCAATTTGTAAATACAAGACATAATAGGTTGCAAAAAGACGCTAGACGTAAGTAAGCAAATGAAATATGTGACTAAAAACAGAAAACCGGAAAAGCAGAAAACAAAACCAGTCTATAAAAAAAAAGAAAATGCGACTTAGGATAGTAATTCCTTGTGAATATTGATCGAAGCTTTCTCGGGGGGTAAATGACTTTGATGGCAAGGAAAAAAAATGATAATAAGGCTTAAAAATGAAATAGAAAGAAAATGCAAAAAGAAAAATAACTTATCTGCTTTGGGAGTTTTGCCTATCAGAATATCAATAAGAAATATGGCGACCACTTCATTTCCGGTGGGAATAGGTTGAAGTGGTTATCTCACCTCACTTTGAAAAATATTAACGAGAAACTGACTAAATATCACTAGCATTATTATTATTATTATTATTATTATTATTAGCAGCAGCAACATTTAACATTGAAATGTTTCCAACTAACTAAATGTAATTTGCTTCCTTTAAATTGTTTAACAAGCATACACACAGCGACATACACACATAATATATAGGTGTGTGTGTGTGTATGCGTGTGTGTGTAAGAGTTTGCCAGTTAAATATGAGAAAAAACATCGATTATAATTATACATCGAGAGGACTTGTTGATTATGAATGTACATTAAATTTTATTTAAAATTTGAATTACTGTCAAGCGATATATCTCTACGTTGAACTTTAACAGACTTCATATTCTCAAGTTTTTGTTTTTATGATAGCATAAATGTATGAGGAAATATTAAATATGGACTGATATTGATCATGTAAGACCAACATCAGAGCACATTTTATGAGTAATCATTATATATATATATATATATATATATAATAATTACACATATAGAGATGATCATACACACACACACATTATATATTATATAAATATACACACATTACACATATATAAATGGATACAGTATGTACAGTGCTGTTCGATAAAAGTGACTCACCTGATTTTCTTTTACTAAAAGTTCTCTTCTCCGATGAAACGAAACTTGAGCTAAATTCAAAGGATAAGCGATCTAAAATCCGAAGAAGAAGCTTTGAAAGCTCTTTGAATTTAGCAGTAATTACTGTCAAGCATCCGTTCAGTATAATGTTCTGGGGATGCTTTTCTTTTCTGGTTTCTTAAAACCTATTGAAAAGACCCTCAGGAGCGAGCAGTACAAGAGAATTTTAGAGTCTTGTCTGCTCCCTTCTGCTGAAAGGGTGTAAATCTATCCCACCAAGCTCATTTTTTTATGCAAGTAATTCTCCCTGTCACAAATCAAAATTGATGAAGGAATATTTTGATGAGAAGCAGGTGAGTGTTAGGACATGGCCGCCGCACATATAGAGCACACGTATATATATATATATAGGATTACACACGAACACATATACATATATTTATAAGTTTATATTTGTGTATGCACCTGTGCATAACTGTGTATGTAAGCGTAAAAATAGAGCTTTGAATATATGTATAGATCTAGTAACATACACAGTGAAATGGAGAGAACGGAGAAATTTATAGTTTTGACCGTGCTGCTATTGACAGATGTAGATATTTGAAATATTCTCGCTATGCTTATAGTATAGGCTCAGTTGTATTATCTTGAATTAAAATCGTTTAAAATTAAATAACACTATATTTTATGAGTAATATCTTTTGAATCAAATTTCAAATACTAAATCATATTCTACAAAAAATGCAGTGTAAAAAATGTTATGCAATTTAAATTTATTGATGGAACTGAACCAAAATCGTATTTTCTTTTAATTAATCAAATCCCAATATGATTCTATCGAAATCACTACATCACTTAAAATGTAGGAAGGCAATTAATGTTTTTCCTACAAAAATTGTCACTCCCGAAAATTCATTCTCTCCCATTTTATTGTTTAAAATTTCATGTATTTTGAAGATATCCCACATTACGTCATTCTGTAGTCATGCTTTGGCTAGTAAACCTTAACTGCATTGCCACTTCATTGCACATTGTCAATAGACACGTCTGATCATGCTGTGTGATTACAAGCGCGAATTGTAAACGATTAAACAAGTGGCCAACTAATAAAACTCGAGCATAGGTAGGATATATTCGATTTTTATCACGCTGTTTATATAACAAGGCGAGCTGGAAAGTAACGGGTATATGTTGTGAGTTTGTGAGCTTCTCAAACAGACAACGACAGGACCGAAAATATATTGAAACAGATTTAATATAACGGTAAGTATTTACGAAGCGTCTTTCCAGAGGAAGAAATGGTAGAAGGAAAGAACGAAGGAATAAAAGAACGAAGTCTCGAAAAATAGGAAAGAAAGAAAGAAAATGATATAAAAGAGGAAATACAGGTTAAAAAACAAAAGGAAATAATATGAAAGCTAACGATGGAGTAATGTATATCACAATAATTAAAGGATAAAAACAAAGAATTAAAAATAGAAGAGAATGATATAAACAAAAGAAAGACAAATGAAAAAAAAAAGAACCAAAGAAGGAAGCAAGGAAAGAAAATATAATAATATAAATGAAGGAAGGAAAATAAAATTCTGTAATATAAAATAATTTATGGAGAAAATAACCATAAACTGAAGGACAAAAAGAAAGTAAATATATAACGGAAGATTTATAGGGGAAAAAAATCAAAGAATTAAAGAAGAGAAAGAAATAAGATTATGAAAGAAGGAAAGCCAATGGAATAATGTATAAAATGATAAATAAAATATATTAAAAAAAGAATGGAAAACCAAAGGAAAAAACATGAAAGAAAGAAATTATCAAAGTACAGAAACCAAAAAAAAAAAAAAAAATGGAAATAAAGGATAAAATATAAGGAATGAAAAACAGAAAAATATAAAATGAAAGAAAGAAATAAGGCAAGAAAAGAAAGAAAGATGGAAAGAAAGAAAGAAAGAAAGAAAGAAAGGAACAAAATAGGGAAAGAAAGAAAGAAAGGAACAAAATAGAGAAAGAAAGAAAGGAACAAAATAGAGAAAGAAAGAAAGGAACAAAATAGGGAAAGAAAGGAACTAAATTCGGAAACAATGGATGAAAGACAGAAAAAGAATAGAGAAGAGCAAAAATAACGGGAAAGATGGCAATGATAAAGACAGAAAAAAGAATATTGAAGAGCAAAACAGGAATGGAATTGAGAAAACAGAAGAATAAGAGATAAAAAAAAAGAAGGGGATAAAGAGGGAGAGACGCCTGGCCACTACGATCAAGACAAAACGAATCGGCTGGATGTGAAGGAAAATTCAAAATGGACGTTGACGCGAGCAAAAAAGTAAAGAGTCATAAAACAAGTTACAATCGCAGTAAAGCGGGAAGAGAATAGAAAACGAAAAAGATCGTATAGAAAGAAAAAAAAAGAAAAAGAATTTACATAAGAGAAATCAGAAAAGATAAGGAAGGAAAAAAAGGTAATTATAAAAAGGATAAATTGTAAAGAAAGAAAAAAATATTGCATGAAATTTGTTTGCGTCATGGAAAGGGAAGAAATAAAAGAAGAAACGAAATCTCGCGAGAGAAAGAGGAGCTACTCGAAATGAAGATAATATGCGTGGAGAACGTGCGAGAATAGAAACGATCAGTACGTGAAGAAGTCCTTGACGC